TTGTTGGATATTTTTTTTGCTAATATTTTATTGAAGGTTTTTATGTTTAAAGTCCTTAGCCATATTGGTCTGGTTTTGGTGTCAGGTTGGTACTGCCTCATAAAAGGAAATGATATGTGTTCCCTACCTTTCTCTTTTCAGAAAAAAAAAAAATCATGTACAATTTTTGTTATTTCTTCTTTAAATGCTTTGTGGAATTCACTATTGAAACCCTCTGGGTCTAGAGATTTCCTTTTCTAGGTTATTTTAAATGACAAATTGAATATCTTTAATAGTTATAGGATCTAGTAACTGATACTTTAATTAACCATTCTTGCATATCCCCTTAGATATTTTGGGAACTCAATAAATATTTAATATATAGTTTTCTCAGTAGATTTTCCACAGCCTATGTCTAAATTAAATAGGACATCACAATACACAATCACACAGAATCCTGCTTAGTATAATAAATGCTCTTGTCCTCTGTGCTCAGTTCTTATTTTCATAGCTTAATAGCTTTGATATTTTAAGCATGTAAGAACTTGCCTAAACAAAACTTTCATTAAACAAACATTTACTAGATATAATGTACCCTGTTATTTTCTATTCTATTCCATATTATTTTTTTAAATACTGGTTATAGCTCATTAAATTCATTTCTGGACCCACTAAGGTATTCCAACTGCAATTTGAAAAACATTCATTTACATAGTCTCTGCTGTGCCTTCTAATTCTGACTTGCAGTCGTATTATGGGTCTCTGACTCTTGCTTTTTCCTTGACTGTAACACAAAGCCTATTAACATGGACAGCGCTATTTTTTAAAAACTTATTTCCAGATCACTTCCAAAGGGGCTTTAAGACAGTTTATAATGAATGCAGAAAATTTTAAGGCAAAAAAGACAAATGAGAATCATGGAGAAAATGTAATTTCCCAGGAATGGAAATACAAAGAAAAGTATCAAGACATCCAGATATCAAACCACTTAGTTTAAATTACTTGTTATTGTGCTTCATTAAAAGGGGACCAGAATCTGAAAGAATAAAGTAAGTGTCAGAGTATTGCAGTCTTCAGAGGGGAAGGAAAAGGGTCACTCTGGGGTTTCCGTGGTCTCGAAGTGAAGCAGAGGTAAGCAGCCCCGCTCCTCCACCAGGAGTCTTTTTTTTTTTTTTTTTTTTTTTTT